TTCATTTATTGTATCTAGTAGATAAATAACACTGGCCAGGATGATACAGGTCATACAGTGTAGGTGGGACACAAACCTTGTTTTCTGATAGCTCACAGTCTAGGGAAACAAATCAGTACTAAACTGATGCTGGTGCTCAGAGATTGACACACAACATAGGAAAAACCCTCATGGCGTGGCATACACTGTGCTGTCTGGAAAAGATTGGGAAAGCTTCATGAGACTGTAGTGAATGAGAAGAGTTGGCTTTTGGGCAGGAATTAGATATGTGGAGTGGGGGAGAAGCTCACAAAGAGAGGCATACATGAGCCTTAGTTATCTCTCTGTCACTGGTCAACCAGAGCATGGCCGTTCCCTGAGTGACAAGAATCAGACAGTGGGATAACAGGGAAGGAGTGGATGATTGAGAATCTTCAGAGCCAAATGGAAACATCTATGTATTTTGAGACCTCTATTTCATCAAGAATGTCTTTAATTGGAAGAATATAGCTATTTCTACCTATTATGGAATTTTTTATAGTTTTATTTTTAATTTACTTTTTTCATAACTGAGGACTGAACCTAGGGGCTCATGCATGCTAGGCAAGTGTTCATCCACTAAATTACATCCTTGGCTTTAAAAAAGTTTCTTCTTTTTAAAAATTTTGAGACAGTATTGCTAAGTTGCCTTGATTTCTTTGAACTCACTGTAGACCCGCCTCAGCCTCATGAGTAGCCAGAATTACATGGCATTTTAATTTTTAAATATTTCATGTATTATAAATTTTAGCATTTGATGTGGCTTTCATTTTAATTTAGGATAAATTAGAAGTAAGGAGGTAACTGGGACTTTTAGTTTCTTTGTACTAATTTGTGATAAATAGCAGCAGGTGTCTTCATACCTGGGAAGGGAGATTTACTTGAGTCCTCTCCGAGTGGCTTTAATGGACAACGCTCTTCACTGAGCACTGGGCACTTGTGAGGGTGTATAATGCCGACACAATGCCTTGTAAGAGTCTGAGATCTTGTGAACCAACCACTTGAAACCAAAATGTGACTTTGCTCATTGTCGTGTTCTTACCCACATCACAGTGTTAGGTTTAAATGTATGGGGAAAGAATCAGTGACGTGCAATATAAATGTATAAAATGTGTGCCCACATGCAGAATTTCATGCATATGCTATCTCTTGTGAACTTCATATTGAAAGAGCTACTCAAGAGCAGGTGTGCTGTGTGGGTATCCAGTGCTGAAGAATTTGTCATCTTTCTATTGCTTGGTATCTTTGGCTTCTTCCCCTACCTGAAACATGCTTGGCAGCTGTTTTCTCTCTCCTTCCACAAGCAGAGATCTCTAGTTTTAGGGGAGGCTCTGCTAGATGTAACCGGTTTCCCCACCTTTTTCAGCATTTCCTAAGAAGTTTCTCCAGAGCTTTACTCACAGGACAGAATTGTCAAGTGTTTGAAGTTCTGGCCAAAGCAAAACTGCAGTCAGCCCTACTCTGCCACTACCGGATTCCTGAGCTTCCCTAGTGCTAAATAGCAGACGGAACTGTCTCTACTTTAGGACACTACCATACTTTATTTTTGAGAGAATGTCAGTTATTACTAGTCTTTTATGAATGGTCTCTGATGTATCTCTGCCTCTGGATAAGGTGTTTTAAGCAAGTTACTTTAGCTCTTAAACCCCAGCTCCATAGAATTACTGTAAGAAATATGTGAGACTTTGCAGGTGAAAGCACTCAACATAATATGTATCTGATAACTGGTTTAGATAGTATTGTTATTGTTGATGTTTAAAAGTGTGCCATAATGTTGTATTGTTTTTATGCAGGCGTTTTGGATGAAAAGTCTCAAATTCAGGAGCCCTGTTGTTCAGACCTCTTCCTGTTCCCAGATGAGAGTGGAAATGTGTCCCAGGAGCCTGGCCCCGCTTATACCTCGTTCACCCACCACCTGATTGGTGATACTATGTCAGGTGTGCCTGCTGAAAATGATGACTTTTGCATCCTTTTTGCACCAAAAGCAGCTGTCCAGGTAATAAATCATTGACTTTTTTTTTTTTTTTTTTTTTTGGTACCGGGGATTGAACTCTGGTCCTTGTGCGTGCAATGCAGGCCACCAAACCGCTGAGCTAAATCCCCGGCCCAATCATTGACATTTTGAGACCTTAAAATTATGTTACAAATTAAGTTTACCAAAGGATACCCAGAGAAAATTCTTTAGATTTTGTTAATTCCGTACAGTTCCGAATTACTTAATTTGGGGGCTGGGGATTTAGCTAAGTGGTTCCGGCACCTGCCTCACAAGCACAAGGGCCTGCGTTCTATCCCCAGTACCCCCCCCAATCTAGAATTACTTAATTTTGTAGTTTACTGTTGGTACTTGCAAGTGGTTGTTATTACTCTTTCTTTGGCACATCTTCAGAGACTCAGAGAGAGACTGTATTTGCAAGATTTCCTACATAGTTTTTTTTTTTGGTACTGGGGATTGAACTCAGGACCTTGTGCTTACAAGGCAGGCTTGGTGCCACTGAGCTAAATACCTGGCCCTTCCTACATAGATTTTTGAACTTCAGATGTCTTCTGTAATACGACTCTTGAGAGCTATGAAGTTAAGAGGCAGGACGACGTGGCACACCAAGACAGTCTGAGAGCTGGGGAGGTGAGAAGTGTGCAGTCGAGGCAGAGGTGAACATGCTCTGTTAGATCTTCTCCTGGTAGCTCAGTAGGTGGCTGTATTTGTTACTAAATTTCGACAACCTTCTGGTTGAATTTTTTAAAAATCAAAGCACTCAAGCTCAGAATAAAGCAATTATTAGAAACACAGTAGTTTGGTCAGTGTGTTGAAGTTTTGCAAAGTTTTGGTTGAGAGCTCAATACTGACTCTAAACAACAAAACACACACATACAGGATCTGTGCCTTTTTATTATCTAACACATAGAGCCAAATTGTAAGCTATAAAAAATGCTCATGGGGTAATTTATGTGCGACAGGAAGAGTTCATTTTCTTGATGAAGCAGAGTATTTTATGTGATAATTACTGTCAGAAGTTATTACCTCATTTTACATATTGAAATTCTTAAAAAATATGCAGACTCAAAAAAATCCCTTTGAGATCTATGCCATAAGCAGTTGTTTCTAAAGAGATGAGAGAATGTTACCTGTTGTTGACTGATTTCAGGAGAAGGAAGAAGAACCAGTTGTAAGAATCATGGTTGATGATGCCATTGTGATAAGAGATAATTATTTTAGCCTGCCTGTTAAGAAGACAGACACGAGCAAAGCCCCACTACACTTTCCCATTCCTGTGATTCGGTATGTGGTTAAGGAAGTCTCTATTGTATGGCATCTATATGGAGGCAAAGATTTTGGAACAGTTCCCCCTACTTCTCCTGCAAAAAGTTATATGTAAGTTAATTTTTGTATGTTTATTTGGCAGGCAGTATATTCTTTCCATAGAAAAGCACATAGACTTTATCTTAAGAATTAATAAATTAGTAGTTAAAACTATGTAATTAAATACCACTTAAAGTTTCCGTTTGTGAACTTACTTGGATTGCTTGTTTTATTTATTTATTTTACTAAAATATTGACTTAGCTTGATTTTCATTGAGCAAAAAGTTTTCGGTGTCTACCATTTGGCTGTTCCAAAAAAGGGGTCCAGCCCTTGCCCCCAGTTCCCAAGGGAGAGGCAGGTACAGTTATGTGACTGAGGGCAGTGAAGCCTGAGTGTCAGGAGGCAGGGACCACACATCCCCTGAGCTCCCAGCTTCCAGTAGGTGCCATGCCGAGAGCCGTCTCACATAGCACTTAAGGGACACATGCAGTGTTTTGTAGTGCAGGAAGAGAACGAGGCAGGCAGCTTAGGCATGGGGAGAAGCATCGAAGGCTTCATGGACCAAAAAAAAAAAAAAAAAGG